TTTTGTCACATCGAGCATGTTATGAAAAAATATATATTAGGTGCCAATCAAGCTAACTGGGGACGCATTGTAAGGTTTAAATGACTGCAGTACGTGCAGCTAGAAATATCAACAATTAGCCTAAGCAATGTCTGAGGTGAGCTAAAACATGTAGGAAACTGTTAGATTAACTTGATCTTAAATTGAACTTAATCCAGTGCAGCAACTGAAAAAAAAACAAGCTAAAAATGTTACAGAGAAACAAGTAGTGTGATTAAAGTCAGCCCAAACAGGTAGAATTTTGCCAAAACAAATTAGCCAAGTCTTAGCATTCCAAGCTAAATGAAAGTTAAATGTCACCTAAAATGTAAAAGTAACAACCACTCACTGCTCAAGATTAGCCTATAAATAGATTACAATTGGTCAAAATATACACAATGCCAGACCAAAAAGTACATTAGCCAAAAGATACCTTGGTAGATTAGCTGAAAGCTAGCTGAAATTAGCTAAAAGCCTTCTAGACGTTTTCATGGAAACTTCCAGAAATGGTCAATGTATTGGTTTCTAAGCAAATATTAGCTTATAGCTAGCCTATGAAGGCTAGCAGAAAAAACCTGAGGTTAACGAACCCCCACTAAACAAATCTATAATTGGCTAATGATTTAGAAACCAAATAGAGAACGTTTACCCTGGGAATAATGTAACCTGACGAACAATTAAGATTAAACAAAGCGATCCAAAATTACAATTAATTATTATTATATTTTTAATAAACATTTTTAACAACTCGTGTTTTGTTCTTAAACTTATAATTTTATTTTATTTTGTTCCTGGTGTGAGCGTCAACAGATAATGTAATGGGTTAGCGAGTGAAGTAAGGGGAGCGGGGGGTGGGACGGGTGGGGCGGAGGGCTCTCCTCTGCTGTGGGTGGGAGGGGTTGACACAGAGATGTACAGGACAGGACAGCGTCATGCTCCACAAACCCTCACCACCACACGCTGCTGCCGCTGCCGCAGCTGCTGTGGAGACTCTGGCACAGCCGCGCACATTACGCAGCGATCACACGGGCTGTGTCGCAAAGAAGAAGAAGAAGAAGAAAACAACTAAATGATCAGAACTGAATTAACCATTAAAGGAATGATCCCGCTGTTTTCCTCTACAAGCTCGGTTTCCAGAGAGAAGTAACGACGCCGCTCATTTACCATGAGCTGTTTGGATGTTATGTACCCTGCCTATGGACATTACGCACCGTACGCACCGACTGCTCCAGCTTTTATCAACAGCTTGCAGGTAGGAAGTGATCGTATGTTGTTGTGGAATTAACATGTTTTTTTTGTTTTTGTTTTTTATTTTGTGTATTTACCGTCGGATTCTTTAAAATGTCGATCACTTGACAAAACGCGTGAAATCGTGCGTAAAGGCACAAATTACGTTTAAAACTTGTTTTTTTTTGTGTAAATATATATGTAATAATGTGTTAATGGGGTGATTATCACATTGTGTTTGAATGTATTACTAAGCCCAGAAGTCACTTCATGCCCACTCACACACATGCACGTCAGTAATGCCACACACACACAGAAAAACATTTTGTCAAAATGTCTCAGAGACACAACTGTCGTCCCTAACACCTGTCTCTGTCTCTGACCTGTCCCTGCACCCTGACAGACTTCCTCAGGTCTGAACATCACTCCTTCTCACTGTCGGGACTTTATGGACACTCCCCGGGGTCCCGAGGCAATGTCTGGGGGCCCAGGCGCTGGAGGTTCAACTTCCTCCTCGTCCTCGTCTAGTGCTTCCTCGTCCTCGTCCTCCTACACGCCGGCGGCTTCCAGGCCAGAGGAAGGGACCAAGGAGAAGCAGGAGGCCCCTGAGGCAGAGTACCTGACACCGCGCTGCATCCTCTTCACCTATTACCAGGGTGACATCAGCAGCGTGGTGGACGAACATTTCTCCAGGGCGCTGAGCTCCTACATGGACGGAGAGGGCAAACGGAGGGGAGCGGACCAACACGGCACAGGTATGTCGTTGTGTTGCGAAGAAGCGAGGAGTCATGGGGTTCAAGTTAGAAGACGGTGACGTGTCTGGTCATTCAAACTCTAATTTATTAAAAAAAACAAACACTGCTTTGCACCAAACAATCAGCAGTTTTATTTTGCAAAAATGGTTCCTTTAAACCTAAGGACGACCTCACCCTGCAAATTAACATGACAAAGACTCATGCATGTGTCCACCAAGTATTCCAAGCTTATTTTAGGCTCCTGTTCTTGTACACCCCTTCCCTGCAGCTTCATAACTCCCACTGATTTATGGGTGCCCACTGCTGGTGCCGTTGTCCGCAAGGCGCCTTGTGCTTGTGATTGAGGCCACACTGGGTGAGCTGACATTTCTGCAGAGCACAGCAGAGGGTCGGACAGGTGACGAGATCAGGTGACAGGACAGAGGGTCTGCCTGTTGAGCTGTTGTCCCAGGAAAGGTCAGGGAGTTGGAGGTTGGAGGTCATGAAAAGTCAGGTGCTGAAGGCAACCGGGGGGAGGTGAGGGGCGGGACTTAAAGGGTGAGGACTTAAAAGAAAACATGCAAATGCTTCTGAAAAGGGTTTTCCTTCACGGTTAAAGCGGCAACTGATTTCCACATTTGTAGTAAACAAAATGAAACGACTTGCTCGCGGTGTGCAGTGGCACCGCTGATGTGTCTTAGATAACCATGTAGGGCCTATGACTTCAGCTCTCTCCCCCTCTCTCTGCACTTTCCTCATTCAGTCGGACGTCTTCATTTCGCCTCGACCTCACACCTTCTGCCTCACAACAGATGCTATGTTTATACATGGCCATAAGCACACAGCCTCGTCGGCGTATCCCCTTCAAACATCTCGGCGGCTGCTGCCATTCTAACTCTGACTGCAGCTCCTTGCCCCACAATGGTTCAGCGGTCTGTCAGTCAGTTGGTGGCCCCCGGTGGTCATATGCTGCGGGCATGGGAGCAGAGGAAACACTAGCCCCCCTTTGCATTGCGCGGTGTCTGTTTTCAGAGGAATACCTAAATATAAGAGTATACTTCTAAAAACATGTAATGGCTCCCTGACATTGGGTCAAGGGCAGGAGGGGGAGGGGCAGAGAAAACAACAGGTGGGGGTGCAGGAGACAGAGGAGAGGGACTGGTTGGGAGCACACACTGCCAGGGTAGTGTGTCCTCCCTATGTGTGTATGTGCAGGAGTAGGCAGCGAGACGTTCAGAGGCACTGGGCTGACATGAGAGTGAGAGATGTCACCACAACCAGTGATTTAAGGCTGCGGGAGCTTTGGGCGGCCTCCAGGTCGGAGCGTCTGCCTTATATAGAATTCTAGAATACAGGGACGCCCTCTCTTTTACCGTCCTGTTAGCCCCCCGTTCCCCCCCC